GTGGTACGTTTACATAATCGGCCAGGCGATCAAACCCAACAGTCGCAGAGGGCTTGCAAACCGCAGAGAGCTACCGGTAGCGGCAAAAGGCCAAGTCAACTCTTCCGCAACGTGCAAAACACCATGGCACGCAGCGGGTAGGGCCAAGGCAAAGAAGGGCACGATCAAAAAGTGGAAATACCATGGCTATGTTTATTCATATTCGAAGGGAATTTTTCGGGGTATGATGGGCCGTTTCCCGATACCCTTACCGATACCTTACCGATACCCTAGTTTTTGATTTGCAACCCGGTGGTCCTAAACATCTGAAACCTTTGTGTGCCCTTGCGTTTACACGAAACATATGAATCCTGTTTTCTGTGGTTGTCAACCATCTGCAATCCTTGCGTGCCCCTGCGTTTTCATCAAGCCAATGCTTCTTACTTGCCATGGCTAGGTGCTTGTAGAAGCAATTCTGAAATCCAAGTGTGCCCCGCAGTTCCTGCAAAGAAACGTGTGAATGTTCATAATGAGTTCCTCAAGTAAAATGCTATCTTTTNNCCGATTTTTGGCCTGAGTTCCCGTCGTCGGACTGGTTTGCCCCTTCTACCCAGTAAAACGCATGTGAACGCAGCTTAACATAGCAAACGCTAGAAATATTAACAAAAAAACGGTTAAACACATGTGCCTGAATCCCCTCTCAAACGCAGGAAAGAGACGACTTCCTAAAATCCTTCCCCCCAGTCATTTGAAGCAACCAAGAAAAAAGGGACGACTTAAGCAAGTCCCTGTAGGGGTTTACCAAAGAGGGATAGAGCGAGATATGGCCCGGGCAACCGGGGTTCATAGGGTTTCGGGGTGATTAGAAGAAAGAAGAACCGCTAGGTCTCAGAGCTTACAGGGATCTAGCATCCCTGTATAGCGGAGGCATAAAGCTGTATGGGGTGTAGTGGTTTGGAGTCAAGGGGTTGAGGGTTTAGGAGCTTAGGGTTCAGATTGGAGTATATAACCTTACACCATATGGAACTTGACGTGAAGAATGAAATAGGAACGGTTGTATAACAACATATAGGCTTTCGAGTTCACAGGGATATCGGGTCCCTTGAATGGGATGATAGAGCTTGAGAGTTTTGAGTTTTAAGAGTTGGAAGGATGGAGCTCAAATGTCCAAGAAGATGGGACATGACATGGACACAGGCTCTGGGGTTAAGGGTAGGGTGGTTTTAGTTTAGGTTTCGGGCTCAAGTTCCAGATTTGAGGGGCTTTGTGGTTCGGAAAACAAGAGACCCAAGTGGAACCCCAAATCCTAAACCCTAAACTCAAATCCCTAGACCCTCATGATGGGAAATGATGTGGCACAAGGCTTCCCCGGTCTATAACCGTGAGGGTCCAAGCACCCAAATAAATAGGGTTTTAAGGGTTTAGGGTTTAGGGGCCAAATACCATCAACATTATAGTATTTGGGCCCTACGAGCCTATTATTTGGGTCCTTGGATCCTTTGGGTAAGTTTCAGTCTTAAAGTCTTAGAGGGTCCATTGACCCGTACTATCTATACCCTTTTGTTGGACCCAGCAGTTACTGGAATTTAGGATTTAGGGTTTAGGTTGTGGCGTAGGCTAGAAGACAAGGGGCCTAAGGAGCATCTGGCTCAGGTTCTTGAGGTGAGGTTAGGATCCATGCGGGACTTCAGGGTTAGGAACTAGGGTTTAAGGTCTAGCGTTTCCCAAAGTTAGGGGTAGCTTTCTGGGGGTCCCTATGATGAAGGATTATGGTGTTTGAGGGTCTATATTGGGGTGTTTAGGGAAAGTACCGTATGCTTGATGCTGCTTGTGCTTCCTTCAGTTGGACCTCAAATCGTTCGGAGGACTGACTGTAGGGCTTTGGGTTTAGGGCTTTAAGGCTCTTGTTCAGGGGTAGCTAAGGCCTCAGGTACAGAGCTTCGGGTTCATGGGCTTAGCCTATGCTTAGAACATGAGCGCGACACCCTAGAGCCTTTGCCATTAAGCCTTGGGCCGTAAGACCTACTACCTAAGGCCTATAGTCCTCTTAAGTAGATAGAATATGAAATTGCTCAATATCATCTTAAGATCCCCATGCACCAGATAATCTATCCACTTAAAAAGGGGACCATTATTCCCGGAGTCTAAACCATGTGGGTCTATGGATGCCCTTCCTTGTCCAGATTGTCGCTACAGGCGATGAATAGGGCTATGGAGGGTTTCGGGCTTAAGGGTTTAGTGTGTGGTGTTGTGGACCTTCACCAGGCTCTAAAGAGAGAGGGGTGATAAGGCCAGGTTTTGAATCCAGGGCTTTCAAGGCTATAGCTGTCGGATCGTAGGATTCTTGAACTCAATTCCCCCGACCCAACAAGTTGAGTTTACAAGGTTGAAGGCTTAGTTTAGGGTTAGGGTTGAGGGTTTAGAGTGCGTGCTTAGGGTTCCCAAGATAAGCGGGAAGATCCAGGTCTAACAGAGATGCGGCCCAGGCGCCCTGAACCCCAAGGCCCTAAACTAAACAATGTGCGGGCTTCAGGGGTCTGGAAAAACCAAGGAAACCAAAGCCCAAATTCTAAACTCAAAACCCTAAACGGCAGGGATGAAGAGGACTTTCGGTAGATATGCCCTTGGCCGTATCACCACCAACCAAACATCAATAGGGTTTAGGGTTGAGGGTCCGCATTGCAGGCAGGTATGGATTTAGGGTGTAGGGTTTAACCTCCATACCGCCCAGGTTAATACCTTACACCACCTGCTGCACCCCAAAACCTCAGAATTTCAGTTCAGAATCTGCTTTATATTGGGGTAACATTGGGATAATGGAAAATAAAATGGAAACTACTATGGTATACTGAGCTTTGGGGGCCCAACAGTTTCTTCATCCTCGGCACATCCAAAATGCTAGGGGCGACCCTATGCACACTCCAGATGACAAAGTCCTCAGTAGACGCGCACCTTGAAGAAGGACTCAGGATCTACCGATCAAAGTATCCCTAGATTTCCCTATATAACCGGGATGTCCGGCAAGCGCGCCTTCTCCTTGTCCTGCAGCGCTGGTGCGCAGCGGCTTATGAGGCTCTGGTCCAAAGCATGGGCAAGCTCCTGAACAAACTGTTTTTAGTGTTTAGGTTTACTTAGAAGTAGAAGGAACCTTAAAACCGTAAACCCTATAGTACAGCGGACTTAGCAAATTTGTGTTTGATGGTTTGGGGTTTGGGGCTGGGCTTCGGGTTGCAAAACCAGCGGTAAGACTTAGGGCCTTGGGGGCTTAGAGGTTCAGGAAGTTTAGGGTGTACTGTTTAAGACAGGGGTTTAGGTTCAGAGAGCAGGAGGGACTGGGGGCTTGGGGCCCAGGGCTCAGGGCCCTTTAGGAATGGGATGTATCGAGGGAAACCAGGAGGGACTGAAAGGGAGGGGCTTTGTGGTAAGGCTTCCTAGGAAGGATACCTAATCGCATTAGCCTGAAAACCCCATATTCGGTGTTATATTCCCCTATACACAAAGGTGGCCTCAATAATGGCCCCCATAAGCTGCAAGTAGGGGTTGGGGGTCATGGGTTTGTAAACTACACCCTAAACCCTAGACCCTAGCCAGTTCAATGCTTAGGCATAGAGGCTGTGTATGCCATAGATCGGATCTCGCCGGACTCTTCTGAGGATCGGAGATTAAACGCTAAACCCTGTCAAGTTTCAGGTACTGGGGGCTCCAATGTAAAATGTGAGGGTTTAGGGTGTAGGGCTTAGGGTTGTGGGGAGGAGGTGAAAGTTTTGGGTTTAGGATTGAGGCTTCAAAGTCTAGGGGGGTTAGGGTTCAGTGTCTAGGCCTGTGCCAGAAACAGGCCTCATACCCCAAACCGAAAGCCGAACACCCTAAACCCTAATCCCTTGAACCCTAAACCCTAAAGCTCTAAACGCATCACCTATCTTCCGAAATCTAGCCCCCCAAATCTGGAGCAGCCAGGCAGCGTGGTCTTGCGGCTCGCAACAGTACATAGGGAGCTCGGCAATGTTGCCTGAGCTACAGAAAGATTAGACTTCGGGGTCTGGGGCTTGGGGTTTAGGATTTATGGTTCGGGTTCTAGGGTTTAGGGTCTTATTAGAGCTTGGGGTTGGACCTTGGCCCCCAGATGTAGGCAGCGCCTCTGACTTTTTCGCTGGCTGCGGGTCGGCCTCTATCGCACCTTCCTTCACGATTAGCGATCCTTTGCGAGTTGATTGCAACTACCTCACCCTAAACCCTAAACCCTAAAAACCCTCAAAACAAAAGGACGGCTTGGGGTTAAGGAAGCGTTTAAGAAAATCGGTGGCAGGGGAACCCTAAACCCCAAACCCTCAGCCCAGTGCCAGGGCACTCAGAAATCCCGATATCACCATATAAAGCACCCGCACGTAACCCTTAACCCTAAAACCTCAACCCTAAACCCAATGCCAGGGCACCCACAACTCTATATAACCCTAAATATCACTCTACATACATATATACATATACGCATACATACATATAGATATACACATATAATATGCGCTTACATTGACATGTAATGCCAGGGCACTCATGGAGTTCTCCATGGTCCAGGCCGGCTTCAGCAGATCGGCGAAGTCCAGGTCGGCGGTCTTCGGGTTGTCCTGCGGCAAGGGGGGGGGGGGCTTAGGAACTAGGTAGGGGGACTTACTAAGTTAGGGCTTAAGGGCTTTTAGGGTTTAGGGTTTTGGGTTTAGGGGTGGGTGGGGGGGATTTGTTGGCGTTGGGAGTTGGGGTCTGGGCGTGGGGTTGTTGGGGGGGTGGTTAGGGGACTAAAGGTCTTGGGCAAGGCTTTGTACACAAGAGAACAAGTTACCTGCTAGCAGGCTGACAGAAAGCGGCATGATGGTTTACCCCGAAGGAAGCTGATATGGTCTTATTAAATTGACACTAGTTTCAGTGATGCTTTTGGGATCTTCCAGGTTCGAATGGTAAAGTGTAGGGATTGGTAAAAAATGCCTGGAAGCCCGTCGACCGCTCTTTTGAGCAACTGTTCCTGGCTTTAGTAAAGAACGTACTCTTACTCTGTCCCACACCCCGGAACCACTACTCACATCAGTCATAAGTTTGCTCCCCTTAAAGGAGCTTCCCCAAACTTTTTCACGGAAAGTATGTTCACCGAAAACACTATTAGAGGCGATTGGGGCCCATTGGAGGTTTGGGTGTGGCGGGGGACTCCTTTAAGAGGGGGCCCTCATCAAAGCCTATGAGTTTTGACTTGAAGAATCCCATGGTACTGGTTAAGGGTTCTAGGATTTAGGGTTTGGGTTTGGGCTTTTCGGGTTTAGGGTTTGAGGTTTAGGGTGTAGAGTTTCGCGATGCCTGGCAGAACCACTGCCATCCGAACAATACGTGGCTGCAAGGCATTCATTTTCACTGTTGAAGCCTCAAATTTGCCTATGTTCCTATTATGGTCCTAGATCCTAATAAGTACAGTCTAGGGTACCTCAAGTAGACCTCAAAAACATATGGGTAATTTTCAGTGCCTGCTGTGTCTATTCAACGAAACTGTTAAACTCGTCCTTCTAGCAATTCACCTGAAGGCAGCTTGCGGCTTAGTGTTTAAGGATTCCAAAAACTAAGGGCACCTCTAAAGGCGGATATAGGGGTTCTATAGGGATGATGGAAAAGAAAATGGAAGTACTAGTTAGGGTTTAGGGCTTAGGGTTTAGGATTGGGGGCATAGGGTTTAGGGTTGAAGGTTTAGGGTCTGGGTGTACCTTGGCCTCGGCCTCCTCAGCATGTGCAATGGCAATGCCTTCCTGCGGTCTTCCGGCAGGAGTTGGGATTGTCATATCCGCACAAAAAAGCTAGTCTACACCCGATACTCGTAAATTTGCAGAATCTCCGAATATCAGGTCTTTCCAGAATATTCAACAACATCGTCAACGCTGGAACCCCGTGTCCCTGAAGTCTTCAGGAATCAGCTCTTTGAAGCACTAGCCCATCTAATCGTGCCTCACAGACTTTACATTGACTTCAAAACTAAACCTTGAGCTCAACCAACAAAGTCGAAACCCTGAATCCGAATCCACATGTACTAACTAATTACTCGCACTGAACCCTTAACACGCAACCCTAAGCCGCACACCCTTGACCCGGCTCCCAACCCCAAATCCAAAATAGTACGCATCTTAAATGAGTGCAGGTGGTTTTCGAAACCTCAGATTCCCATGTAATTGTTCCCCAGTATAACCCAAACTACCCCTAAACCCTCAACCCAAGCGCATACATCCCCAAATCCTAACCCCTAAACACCTTTATCCGGCTGCATGCCTACAACTAATTGTTATTGACATTAAAAAAATGGCTTTTACTACTGGTACACGCCTTCAGGTAGCCCTTTGGCCGAAGCAGATCGGTTCGGCCGATGAGGTCGTTGAACTTCTTGATGCCTCAAGGCGCACTTGGCCTACTGGGGGCTTAGAAGGGCATAAGGGAAGATAATCCCTAAATAACCACTGTTCAGGGTTCAGGCCTTAGGGTGTAATCCCTATTTCTGTTCCTTATTTCCTACTGACCCCCAGTAAGTTGGGGTTCGGGGGGGCTTCGTAAGTAGATGAGGCTTAGGGATCAGGGTTCAGGGTGTATGCGGTGCAGGTGTAGGGCTCACAGTGTAGGGTTTAGCATTTTCGGGCTAGGTTTTAGGGCGTAGGGTCTATCCTAAACCCTCAACACCGCAAACCCTAAACCCCTAAACCCTAAACCCTAGTTCAGGATTTAGCTCAAAGAAAAAGAGATGCTTGACAGAAGCCGCAATTAGGATTGCAAGAGGCAACTACCCAGAGGTCCCCGGGTTTTCAGCAGGGCCGAGGGTTCAGGGTTTAGGGTGTTTAGGGTTCATGTCTCACATGCAGCCTCACATACTTCGCGCTTCAAAAGGGCCATTTCATTAGGCCTTTCCTGGGCTTCCATGTTAGTTGGCGGGGTGGCAAGTATCTTCAGGACCCTTTCCTCTGTTGACCATACCGCTACCTCTCGACCTCACGGGCTAGAGTTTCGGCGTCGAGTTCAAAGTATCATCTTAAGGCTTACCTACTGCAAGACGGTTTGCGGCACTACTGCACTACTTCTGCATGCCGTAAAAGACGTGAGGAGATGGGACTGTTTAATCCACCAATGCATGTATCTCACCTGCGTTACTCCAGACATTTATTCTCGATTTTCCAACCATACGAACAAAATTCATAAAACACAAGCAATATTTACGGTAGGATTTTTAGGCCACTGTGGCCCCCCCAAATCGGACACCACTTTGTGCACTCTCCAATAGTCCTAAGGAACCCCTAAACACTCACCAAAAAACATACGGAGAACCTGACTTAATCGAAAGGAGTCAAGTAAGGAACCCAAACAGGGAACTCCAAGAATATAGTAGAATATGGTCCCTTAAACACTAAAACCCGAAACACAAATCCGATGGGAAGATAAGGATCCCGGTTTATATATCTACTTTAGGAGGACCCCCCGGCCTGTAATAGTGGTATAATAGGAATATAATAGGACCCTAATATAAGCCTCATTATCCCTTATAGTCACTATTACTGGGGGGTCCAGCTAATATCTACTATACACTCTTGGGGTTTCCTGTTTTTGGGTTTAGGGTTTAGGGTTTAAAGTCCCTTTTATGATATGTTTCTGGCCGAAGTTGGTACTTAGAAAAAGCATTGCAAGGCCCTTACCTGGACGCCGAAAGTACATGGAATACTGGCAAGTTTAAGTTATTTTGCGGGATTCTCCGCCAGTATTCTACCTACTTTGGGGGGGCGGGGGGGGCGGGGTGCGGGTTACGTAAGCTAGACCCTACATCCTAAAACCAAGTTCCCGCTTAGAAAAGAAGTTTGAAATCCAAGTGGCCCAGAGAGGCCATGATCTCTCGCGCCTCCTCAGCTACCTTGCTAAGGTTCAGGGATCAAAGGGGTGTAGGGTTCAGGGCTTGGGGTTTCTAGTGTATAGGGTTCAGGGTTTAGGGTGCATAGGGTTTCGATTCAGGGTTTAGAAGGTTGAGAGTTGAGGAGTGAAGGTTTAGTGCGCAGGGCTTATATAGGACATGTTTTGAGGTTTAGGGTTGTGTTCAGGTGCCGGTGGGGTTGGGGGATTTCGTTTGGACCACGATGCTTGACACGTCGTGTGATTGTGCAGATGACAGAAAAATGTCAACGGTCTACCCAAATGGTACTAGCAGAGTTTGGCTGGTGCAGTTGAAAAACAACCTGCATAATTACACTCCCTGATTCTCCAAAAGCGTTGTGGTGCTTGTGACAAGGTGTCCATCAACAAATGTTTATTGATGGAAGCCTGGCGTGCTGTCTACGCACTAAGTCGTATCGTGAATCTTTGAACCATTTTGAACCAAATGCGAGATTGAGATCAACTGGGTTTAGGATTTCTCTAGATTTAGGTTCTAGGGTTTAGGGGGTGAGGATTTTTGTTCCCCCCGCAATTTGCGTTAAGGAACTTCAAGTAAATTGGAATTAGAAGGAAGCCAGATTATTGCTACATGTCCAAATCATGGTAACGTAGTTGGGTTTCCTCAAAAGCCATCCAGTTTAGGGTCCCCTACCCCTAAGGGTCCAAGTACTTAATAATCATATACTTGCCCAAAACCAGTACTACAGTTCCTGTTACCACAATCCCAAGTACCTAATTATTGGGTACTTGGAGCCTTTGGGTACAGGCCAAGTATGCCAAGAAGCCATGAAGAGGTAGTTGATGAGATGTTCGGGCTGACCTGGCTGCGCGCTCTGCATCGAGCACCATTACATTTTTGCAGAGCCCAAAGGCATATGTAGGCATTTCATTGTATATACAGTACCTGAGATCTGAATTTATTCTGAATATATGCAGGGAGCACCCAGTATATAAGTGCCAAAGGTTTCGGGCTGCGGGTTTGGGGTTTAGGCTTCGGGTTTGGAGGGAGTCTCATTTAATGGGGAAAAAACCTTTTGGGGCCTTGATTTACATATATATATATATACATATATATATATACATATAAATATACTATATACGTACATATGAAGGTTATGACGAACATTGGGTTCTACTAAAAGATTATGCCAGGGTCCTGCTGAGAAGCTCCCAGATAAGGTCAGGCAGCACCTAACCTCAATTACAGTTGGGCTTGACATACCAATCTTCCCTTCATGATTTCACAGGTTCTCCACACAAACCCTATGCCACCCGTATATTGACTGACCCTAAACCCTAAACCCTGAACCCAAAACCCTAAACCCCTCAGACATCAATGCCTGCACATAGGCTGGGCAAAACACCTTAGATTAGGATGTTTCTAAGGGTCCCGGGGGAGTAGGTAACCTAGTAATCCCCATTATTCCCTTTTACTCCCTAAGCTTCCCTAAATTTCCCCAAGGCTCCCTCGTACCCTCAACCCTAAAAGTACCCTCAACCCTAAACCCTAAACCCTTAACCCTTAACCCTCAAGCCTAAACCCTTGAACCCAACTCCCCCCTTTAGGATCCTATGATTAGAAAACAAGACCACCTCTGGCTCCAGGCCAACAACCGACTTCACCAAATCTCATAATCCTTTGGGTTCAGGGTTTAGGGTTTAGAGGTTTTAGATCCCTTTAAAGGGGATATATAGGGATATATATATATATAGGGTTTAGGGTTTAGGGGTTTAGGGTTCAGGGGTCTAGGGTTTAGAGGTTGAGGGTTTAGGGTTCAGGGGTCTAGGGGTTTAGGGTTTAGGGCAATCGCCTGTGAACTTCTTGCGCAGCTCTGGATCCTGCGTGGCCACACCCACCGGGCAGGTGTTCAGGTGGCACTTCCTGTCGCAATCTGCAAAATGGTCAGTGGAGCCCCAACCAGTAACCCAAAGTACTTATAGTGTAATAGTAAATACATACCCCACGTTAATAGGTATCACCCATAAAACTGTAGGTTATTGGAGCTAGAGGAATGCAGAGTTGACCCTACAGCCTACAAGTCCAAAACACAACTTTAGGGCTTCAACTCAGCATCCTACACCCACACCCTAAACCCTTAAACCCTAAACCCCTAAACCCTAAACCCTGGGTCTAAAGGTAAGGTGTACTTCCGGTCTAGACGTTGGGGTTCGGGTGTCTGAGGCCGAGGCTGCAGGATCTTTAGGCTAAAGCTACTACGGTGTACTGGGCCACAACCCTAAACCCTTTTAAGCCCTTATTATAAACCCTAAACCCTGTAATAAACCCCGTAATAAACCCCAAACCGCAGTACTGGGTTTAGTAATGCTGTGGCCTTTGGTATTCCTTACACCCTAAACCCTACACAAGTACTCGACAATTCTTGCTACGGATGCTACCCTCACCCACATTCGCACAGGAGTCTAAGAAAGGTCGTGCTAAGACTACGGGCCAATATTTTGGATTTCCAGGCTAGTTTGGGACAATGCTTGGCCTCATGCACCCTAAACCCTAAACCCTACACCTTCTGCATGTTGAAGTACTACTTACTACTCTCCCTAGGGATCCAGGCCCACCAATAATACCTACATTGGCCCCTACAGTCTGTAAATGATATCCACTTTGTGCTTTTTGGGATATCAGGAGGGTCTCCTTCTCCTGGAGACTGTGACGCACAATTACTGGATTGCTGTTAAGGTACTGATTGTAATAAGGAGACCCTATCATTTACCATATATATATATATAAAGTTATGATGACTCAAACTTAGCTCCTCCCATAACACCACAATTTCAAGGAAACCCTATTATGTGCTGTATGTATACCCATATTATGATGACTTAATTCAAGCCCGGATTCCTTCATTAAAAGCAACCCAGATTACTATAGTCTCCTTAGACCTATTACAAAAATAGTATTTCTAATATTTCCTGAGGGTTATACTATACCCTAAACACTAGAATACTTCCTAAGGACACTACAGATTACTAGAGGCCGGCAACTGGCAACTGCAGCAGAGCAGTCCTCATCATGATGCATCCCAGCGTGATGAGAGGAGCCGTCGTCATGGCAATCTCCTGGCAACCAAAGGTTAAGGGGGCTAGTGGGGTTATATAGGGGTAACGGAAAAGAAAATGGGAACTACTGTAGGATAGAGACCGGGCCGATAGGGAAGGGGTGGGGGGGGTTCTTGTTTGGCTTAAACA